GTATGATTGTGTCCGTGTGTGAAGATTTACGGTAGAAAAACAAACTTAGTACTAATTATTATTAATATTAAATTTGACAAAGACACGGTGTTGTCGAATCAATTGTCATGTCATAATATATAATTTCGTGAAAATCTGAACCTTCAGCTCTCATTTATTTTGTTAAATGGTTTTTCATCAAGTTAAAGCCACCTCAGTTCAATAAACTAGCTTTAATTTCAATAACAACCAATAGAGTGAAGAAGCTATATATATTGAGCTGCGGTTCCCACCGAGTTGTTGGGCTCTTATTTGATTATCTAATGACGTAAAGAAAGTTTTTGTTTCGCTCATAGAACATTTCATAGCCCTTTTTCCTTTTAAAGCAAAAAAGCGCTCAACAAAAAATATTTGATATGAAATTTTGCAGAAAACGGGTATAAACTTCAAGATAGCAGTTACGCCCTCTGGTGGCCATTTTCGAAATTAGAACATGGCTTGCTTGAATTTCAACAGTATACAATATTAAACGTCATTACCCATGGAACGAGAGTAATATCCGGATAATATAACAGAAAGTATAACTAAAAGTTATGATGTCAAGTATCGTAATAGTATCATAATTTACCTTGAAAGTAAAGCAATATATTTAGGTCTTCATAAAATTTATTTTCTATTGTCCTGGTCTTCCGTGTGACACTATTACGGTCCTCAAATCGTTTGAATACATTTTTAATTTTATTTATTGAAGGAACTCTTCTACCCGGATATATTTGTCGATATTCTCTTTTAACTAAAATACTTTAATTTTGATAAAACAATTGCAAGCATAGATAAGGCATTCATTCCATTAAAAAAAATGATGTTGCTGTCATATTAACAGCTTGCGATGGTCGTATGTTTTTTCTGACATTTGATAATAGAGCAAAAATCTTCAAACTTTTCTATTTACACCTTATTTTCTATCTTTCAAAATTAACCTTGTAGGTGGCTGTCAAAATATAATGAGCAAACCACGTAGTTACAACGATTTTGCCACGTCATCTACTAAATCCGTCTAGACCTCCCTGTTCGATGCATATCGGAGAAACGACACCCCAAAAACATCCGTTCGGCTCCCCCCGCAACCCCAACAACCGTTTGGAGTTATTACGAGAACGATTCGAAGTGGTTGAGGGCGCGTAACAAGTGGAATATTCAAAAGGGGTCGTCGCTATGGGTTTTTAATCAGATATTTTGGCCCGAAGGCCCGTGAGCAAAGAAACGAGGGCGAAACAATTTCGCGGCTCATTTTTGGACTCGCGCTCGTGTGTGTGCCTTGCGTTGTTTGTTCAGGGAATCCAGGGGTCGATGGGGGAATAAAAAATGGGTAGGACGGGGCATCTTCGCAAATGGAAATTCGCTTGCCAGATACGAACGGTCGAGTATTTGGATATACGGAGTTGTCTAAACTAAATTTTGCATTCAATATGTCCTTCAGCAAATAAACCCATACAGGTGGTTCGAAGAAAAATAGACATATAAAGGGTGTTTTTTTTCGATGTATAGAACTTTAAGTTGGCATTACTGTTCAAGATGGCGACCGATTTAACAGCTGTCAAGTGATTTATTCTCAGTTTGGTTTGGCAATTCATCATGAATAGACTCACGCCTGAACAACGCTTGCAAATAGTGCAATTTTATTTCGAAAATAATGGTTCTGTGCGGAATACGTATCGCGCATTACGTCCATTTTATCGTCGACAAAATCGTCGATCAGAGCAGTTAATTCGATTAACCATGGAACGTTTTCGTACCACGTTTACACTTATTGATAACTGGCATCCCCATATGCGTACAGAAGAAGCTATTGCTGCTGTAGAGCGTAGCATTGAGGAAGACCCGAATGAGTCCATCCGCCATCGGGTACAGGAATTGGATCTGTGTCCATCCACTTTATGGAAGATTTTGCTTAAGGATCTTGGTTTACGTGCTTACAAAATCCAACTCGTGCAAGAATTAAAGCCAATGGATGGCTACGTCAACAAACAAAACTGCCGCATTTTTAGCGAAGCTAATCCTCAAGTGTATGTCGAAACACCGTTACATCCAGAAAAACTGACTGTTTGGTGCGCTTTATGGGCTGGTGGAATCATTGGTCCCTACTTCTTCAAAAAGGATGTTGGCCAGAACGTTACAGTCAATGGTGATCGGTATAGAGCTATGATTACTAACTCTTTCATTCCTAAATTGGATAACCATGATGTCCAGGAGATGTGGTTTCAACAAGACGGAGCAACATGTCATATAACTCGTGCCGCAATTTATTGAAAGACACGTTGATAAGGATTAGCTATTGTTTGTACGAATTTGATAAGTAAAAGTAAAAAATACTTCGCGTTATTCTATTGCTCCCAATTTAAAGAGTCTAAATGCGGGCCCAGACTTCTACTTTTCTCCCAAGTCTGAAGTCGGTAGCTGCAAATTTGGAGTACTTATTATGTTTTTTAATATTGCACGGAATATCGCGAACACCCTGTATAATAATTAAAAACCGTAACTACAAAAGTTTAAGCTGTCTACGTTTGCTATATCGTCATGTAAAAGAAACTGACATCACACAGATTTGAAATTATTGAAAATTTTCCATAATAGGGGGACCCATTTTTCATTATTTTTGAATTTGCCCTATATATTTTTGAAAAATTGTCACGAATAAAAGTTTATAGAGCCGTATCTTCTGCTTCTCCTGGTTCAATAATTTTTTTAGTTACGTAAACAGTTTTTGAAAAATGATGTTTTTTGTAGACCCTTGCACGTGCGATTTTTTAATTTTTCAAAATACTTCACAACCCCCCCAGCCCCCCCATTTTCAATAGGTTCCGTCACGGGGCAAAGCTGCATATATGTGCCAAATATGAAGTCAAGTCGATTGCTTCAAATTTCGGACACTTATCGTGTTTCATAGCAAGGTCCAAAAAACAGTCGAAAATCGCGTAAAAAAGCAGGATACAGGCGTCGAATCAAGGCCATTTCATATAAGCTTATGTGGAGAGTTAAAAGGAGGCAATTTTCAATTTTGTAGCTCCAACCGTTCGAAAGTTATTCAGGAAAAACCAAAAGACGAGAACGGAGAACCGGAGAACGAACAGACAAAAAAAAATTTTTTTTTCGACGGTCATCATTTCTGTACCAACGCCGATCCCGTAGGACCTACAATTACCGTGATATAAAATTTCCGAAGTCTGTAAGAAAAATTATTGCAAAGTTTTTAAAGAGCAACACTCAGATCTAATTTGGCGTATAATCTGCGAGGCTTATTAAGTTGATAGTGTTTTAACCCTAGAAGATCTGCTTAAAAAAGTACTGACAGACTTAAACATTAGTTGCGCCAAAGAGTCGTTGCGTACTTCTTTAATTAGGTGATGACAGTAGCGATAGTGACGATTTTGTAAGTGACTGATACTTTATTATTATTATATTTAATATTGTGTATATTAACGAGGGTATATTAATGGTGCTATGTAGAAATGTAATGAAAAATTTTTTTATGTACATGTTTCAAGAGCTGTTCGGCGAAAAAGATTGAAAAGTTTGCTAAATGCCTAGGACGGTCCTGGAATAGTCACGGGTAACAGTCTGCCCGGCAAGGTGTTGCGGTTTTGTAGTAATAAGCAGTAGGCAAAGTTAATCATGGGGTAGATTGTAAAAACACTATATTTCTGGTCGAAGTATAGATATGGCCGTCGGTCAGCCCGTATTTTAGAAAAACCAAATATGTCTTCTCCTATCTGCGATAAAATGATGAAATGATGATATAGACTCGTTCCAGTCAACTAAAAGAAACACAACACGAACCCCCCAATCTACATAATATTAAGAGCAATGACGCTGATATCGCAAACTCGAGCGGCCGATAAGATCATAAACGGTGAATTAGGGGTGCCATTAGCATATTGAATCCGGTGGGGCCATACGGCGAGGGATGGTTAACAGATTGACTCCCGATCTCTGCGAGAGGGTGCCGGGCATGATTTACGTACCTTACCCCTGGTTTATTATTAAAGCTGACGTTTTCCATCCACTCTAACGCAGGATAATTGCTAGGCGCTACACCGTCACGATCCAAGGGAGCGATGACTTTATAATAAGGATACCCGACATTTTGTTCGTAAAGGCTCATATGCCACTCCGAGATGTCGAAAGATCTCAGCCCATGATAACTGGCCGTGGTTCTTTAGGGAAACTAAGAAAGGCGAGGTGTTAATCCAAATGGAAATGGATTGGAATTGAATCGTTTGATCCAGGGCAATAGTAGCAGAAATCCTAAGAGATTGTCTAACGTCCATTATCTTTATTTCTTGTTAATTTCGAAAATCGATGAAATCGAATACTTAATTCGACTGCGAATAGGAGCACAGAAAACAGTGTTCAAAGAATATTCCGGTCCCAAAATTGATCCTTGGGGCACCCCATTGCAATGTATGTACTGCCTTCAGATATGACCCGAGCAAGGACAGCTCGTTACACAATCGAACGCTGCTCGCATACACAGCTATTTTCATCGATTATTTCTAGATACATAGATTGAATTATTTTTAGAAATTATTTTTAAATTATTTAATAACTGATCTAAGTGAAGCATAGATGATTAGCAGCCAAATCAGCATCTGTCATGAGGTCGCTAGTTTTGAACACTCCTTTAAATGGAGTTTTCACTTTGTGTGTCAAATTAAGCGGACTATTTGCCTTTTTTATGGTTTACCTTAAGGACTAATGCGCGGGTTTAAACTTTAAAGCGCCATCTTTGGGCGCCAGGCGCATTTAGCAAGATTACACCTGGCACCAATGAATAAGGGTTTTCGGTTTGTTATTGAATATAAATCATAAACCAACCAACTACATTCATCACTTCAATTTAGTTTGAACACGATCCGTTAGGTGTCGCTCCGGACCTGCAACTGGCTATCGAATGACGCGTGGTAAAACATATGTAGTTAATACGTTTTAGTATGGAACGTCTTGATTCCACAAACGTTTTATCAGCACAAATATTTTTTAAGTCGCGTGAATCGGCTTTTAAGAGACAACAACGGAAAGTCGCGGCTTCAGTCGCAGTTCGGGCATGAAAAAATCACCTTTCGACAGAAAATGGAACACAAAACAAGTATCTACACGTTCATCGCTGGCATTTCAGGTAAAATATTTCTCCAGCGATCCAAACTCATAAGTCTAATTTGAGATAAATCCCGATCTCTGAATCTAAATTCTCTTGGTCGTTGTTGAAGCATTTTTGAAGCAGCTAATGTTCCTTGTAGCACCTCGGTTAAAAGCTGAAAACTAAGTGGTTTAGTTACAAAAGTTAATCGAAAAAAGACCGTGTTTCCCTGAGTTCTTAACTTGCTTCGTGTTGGAGATACGGGGTGTCAAAATTTATAAGTGAAATCATGGTTTTATGAAGATTTGGTCGTTTTGTTTTGTTCTTTCGTATCAATAGTTTCGCCATCAAGAAAAAGCACGTTCCTGACCTTTCAGAAGTCGCTTTTTCACTAATTTGTCAAACTCTTCAAAAATACTTCAAAATGCCTTTGGTCCTATTTATTATTTAGTTTTATTAAATTTGTCAAAGTAACCCGTATGCATTACCAATTAACAATGCGTTATTAAAATTCTGACATCTTCTATATCTACTTTTTGACCCACCCTGTATATTTTCTGTTTTACTGCACAAAATGAGCCACAAAAAATTATGATGGTTTTAATCAAGTACTTGATTGTTCAAAATAATTTAATTATTTTATATTTTTCTCTGTCAAAACTGAGTGTCAAATTGTAGCTATTAATCTACCACCACATTAACAAAAAAGCCTTTTATTCTGTTGAAGATTCAGCCAAATTCCTAACTTTTTGATTCAAAAATCACATAATATTTTTTTATCGTTTTTTTTTCTGTTTCATCCTTGATACGTATCTTAGTATGTATATATTTGTGTAATGTAAAAAGCCTGGTTAATTTATTTATTTATTTAAACTTAGTATTGAACTCAAAAAAAAGATCCGACTTCTTAAAGTCGCTGGCAATTTAGTTATTACTAACAGGGCTATTAAAATCAAAATCTAAAAAAAATGTTCAGATTAATAATTAATTTTAACTTTAACATTAAACGAAACACAAAACGAATTCGACGTAACCTAGAATACAACATTGTCGTCTGAATCGAGACTTCTCAACTTCAAAATAAAAACGCCCGAGTTAAATATAAAATGTAATGTTGTGAAGGTGCAAATACATAAGTCGCATAGATAATCAAATACAAAATCAGCCAGTGTAAACTCGCGTTTACGTTTGTTTAACCAAAACAAAAGAAAAAAAACGTTTCGTCAGTCGTAACGAGTTTTTAACTTCCAAAACCGCTGATTTAGCTGTTAATGCGGAAATCCTCGGCAAACCTGACACGATAAGTCAATAACGGCCGCCATAACGGCCATTGTTGATTGTTATCTTCAAATTCGACAAAAACATTTGCCGCCTAGAAACTAGATCACTACGCGACTGAAGGTTCAAATTGAAATATGCGAACCCAGTGAACGGAGTGTATTTTATCAAAGCAACAACAACCACTATAAAAAAAAATCTAATTCTTTTACTGTTCTAAGTGTCTATGACCACCATTTTGTTCAACACATTTCTCGTAAAACATTATGCTCTTATGAGTGAAAATCCCCAATATAAATGAAAAAAAAAATTGAAAATATACTCCAAATTTTTTTTAACATTAATGTTATTTTAAATTAATCCAGAATTATTTTTTTACAACTCAATTTTGAATGAATATAAATGAAAGAAAGTGGTAATAAAAGTTATTTTATTCATAGATCACACATTGATAGTAAATGATTGATTGTAAATCCGAAGCATAAAAATCTCACAATGACAAAATGTTATTATAAAAAAAAATGTATAATCCAGCTAATAATTCAACAATACTTGCGCAACATACAATTAGTAAATTAACAAACTGCTTTCCGGGTATTCATTTTGGCCTCTGGACTTTTTGATAAATCCATATAATTATTTGAGCCCTTGCTGTGGTGTTTCATAGAAGTTTTTTACAGCATACTTTTGAATAATAATCAACGTTACGCGACAGCAGGGCATCAAAGATAAAGGAAAAATTTTCATGCAACGGCCATACTACGCTGATACACCAGATCCCGTCCGATCTCTGAAGTTAAGCAGCGTCGGGCGCGGTTAGTACTTGGATGGGTGACCGCTTGGGAACACCGCGTGCCGTTGTATTTTTTTATTATTTCTTACGCAAGTTCCATTTTATAAGCTTCAAAAAAAAATAAATTTTACATGCAACGGCCATACCACGCTGAGACACCAGATCCCGTATATGTTTATTGTATATAATGTAAATATGGCTTTGACGATGTAGTAGACTGTAAATAAATAAAGACTGAAATGAAACGAGATCCCGTCCGATCTCTGAAGTTAAGCAGCGTCGGGCGCGGTTAGTACTTGGATGGGTGACCGCTGGGAACACCGCGTGCCGTTGTATTTTTTTTATTATTTCTTACGCAAGTTTCATTTTATAAGCTTCAAAAAAATTAAATTTTACATGCAACGGCCATACTACGCTGATACACCAGATCCCGTCCGATCTCTGAAGTTAAGCAGCGTCGGGCGCGGTTAGTACTTGGATGGGTGACCGCTTGGGAACACCGCGTGCTGTTGTATTTTTTTATTATTTCTTACGCAAGTTCCATTTTATAAGCTTCAAAAAAAAATAAATTTTACATGCAACGGCCATACCACGCTGATACACCAGATCCCGTATATGTTTATTGTATATAATGTAAATATGGCTTTGACGATGTAGTAGACTGTAAATAAATAAAGACTGTTTGAAATGAAATGAGATCCCGTCCGATCTCTGAAGTTAAGCAGCGTCGGGCGCGGTTAGTACTTGGATGTGTGACCGCTTGGGAACACCGCGTGCCGTTGTATTTTTTTTATTATTTCTTACGCAAGTTCCATTTTATAAGCTTCAAAAAAATTAAATTTTACATGCAACGGCCATACTACGCTGATACACCAGATCCCGTCCGATCTCTGAAGTTAAGCGGCGTCGGGCGCGGTTGGTTAGTACTTGGATGGGTGACCGCTTGGGAACACCGCGTGCCGTTGTATTTTTTTTTCATTTTTAATTATAGTTCTTCTAATCTTTAAAAAAAAAACAAAGCCGTATTTAAATGTAAAACTCGGCAGGGGTCTCCAAATTCTTTTCCATCTTCGCCCCCTCCTCCCATTTTACAGAAATGGAAAATAAAAATCAAGGGCCAAAAGACAGAACAAATTATCGTGATAAGAAGAATAACTGAAAACAAAATCGTCCAAAGGTTGGTCATAGACGAAAGCGCAATTAATCTAAAAAATAAAACTACCACCTTGGCATCGTCCTCGATCCCTGGCTCTCTTTTATAGAGCACGTCACCTCCAGAATCCAAAAAACATGGGCAGCAAATCAAAAATTATACCCCTTAATTTATCACAGTTTCCCTCTAAGCATCCCTAACAAAATTTTTGGCTAACGAAAGATGATACGCATGTATATGCACGCACGCAAGATTGCTTTTTTTCCAGAACATGTATAAATGGATCCGGATGTGAAGACAGGAAAGGTAATTTTCATTCTTCTTGGAAATTAGTAAATTTCGAAAAACAGAATTTGTTTCCGTATGGATTAGTTTGAAAACAATCAATAAAACAAAGACGGCTGAGAAATTTTGGAGGATATATGAGAAAATGTTCAAGCTTCATCTAAATGTACGGAATTCAGGTGTTTCCGTTTGCAAATTTTTTTTTTGGATACTTTCGAAATATCTAGAGGAAGATTATGGCGTGTCTTAAATGATAAAACTCCAGGAACGGATGGTCATGGCGAGTTCAATTTAATATGATGGATTTACTATCCTATATGCCACCAATTTTACACAAATACTTTATATTCCTACATGTTAAAAAATAAATTACTTAGTTTCAGTGCTTGAATAAAATGTTAATTTCTAATAAAACATTTTCCTTGATGATTTAAGTCATGCAGTTAATTTTGAAGATGGTATAAGTAGTTTCAATCTTTCAAAATCACATTTTTTGGTCTGGTTGAAAGGATAAAAGGGACAGGTAAACAATACAAGATAACCACCACCTTAAACGAATTTATGAATAAATAATTGAATACGTAAATAAATAAATAAGTAAATGGCGAAATTTTAAAGCCGCGAATGATTTGCAAAAAATATTTGAATATCCGATAAATGGGGAAGTGAGAGTCGGTTGTTATTTCAGTGAATTTTTTATCTCTCGGGACTGGATTCGTATACGGGTGGTCCTCGCCAATGTTGCCCAAACTTAACGGTCAAGTCGATCCGGAATACAACCCCCTGCCTTCTCCCGCCACGCTCGAACAACAAACCTGGATGACTTCGTTGTCGAGGTAAATTTAAGGGCTCCGTTTTTCGGCAATTCCTTGGTCGTCAAATGTTGTTTGTTAGTCGTTGTTTTTGCCTAGCCTGGGGGCACTTTGCGGTCCCTTCCTCACGGCGTACATTTCCGAAGAGATCGGCAGGAAAAAGACCCTTTTGCTGTTCGCTCTGCCCTGCATAGCGGCTCACGTGATCATCGTATTCGCTTCTAGCGTCGAGGAGTTTTACGTCGCTAGGTTGTTGATGGGGGTGAGTGTTTATTATATTACTTTACTTTATTAACAATAAAAACCAATCGTATTTGCATTGTAAATGTAAAGTCTGTTGATAGATATAAGTGACCTACTGATACGAATTAAGGAAAGACCCGGGCAAGCTGTAAGAATGAAATATGGCCCAACAGGTCCTTACTTTGCTTAGAATTTAGGTATTTGGGGTTTTGTTAGGAAAGATACTAAACAATATTTATTTATTTATATATGTATTTACGTTTAAATCTAAAATAAAATTATAAATTATTTTTATTACCTACTTAACTTACTTAAAATTATTCACATAATATCACTATCGCTATCATCGCCTGTTCTAATTATTATTTGTTCTATATTATTTGCAATATGGATATTTTTGTCTTGTGTTTAAATTGGGCGCTAAACGAGCCCCTAAATCTAGCCAATCAGTTTCGATCGTCTCCGACCATGTACTTTTACTACTTCGTGGCTTTTTAGTAATTATAATATACAGGAATAGAAAAATCAGCTATATTGCAAAACTACATAAGAAAAATAATTGTATCTCTTTTTTTAAGTCAGCAGTCGGATATGATTATTTGGCAAATAAAAGATTGAACTTATGAAACATAAACATATACTATACTGCAGTGCAGGAATTCCTACAAAACTCTGTTTTGTGACCTGCTATTGAAAACATAAGTAAACTTAATCGTATCGACAGTTTCATTTAATAGGTGATTTTCCGCAAATATTTTGGCTGTTAAATCGAGTGTCATCCGACTGTCTTACTTGTGGTTCTACTTAGCTATCTACAAGATTTGTTTATAGATCACTGTGCTAATAATGGCAGCGATAATTAGTGAAAATTCGTTCTTTTATTTATTTATTTATTAGTTACATTAAATAGGAAATACAATGTAGAAAAAAAAACAAGTCTACAAACAGTTCTTCTTCCTCTGGGGATGCTATATGTGAGAGATAATTTATATATTTGTTTTATACGTTTTCTATACGTTCACTTAACGGTAATTTTTGATAGTAGTGAAAACTACTGGAATCTCTCTCGGAAATTTATATCATTTTAGGTGCAAAGAATCAATGCAATAAATTTTTTAACTATTCACTACTATATTCGGTTTCAGTAGATAAGCCGCGGTGGTTCTACGTATAATATAAAGCTTATCTTTCTGAAATACATTCGGGTAGTATTTTAAATGTCGGTCTTTTGTGATGTTTGACGACATGATAATCGTATTCAACGTGTTGAAGCTGACGGCATGATTTTTATGATTTTAAACTTTGCAAATTGTCTCTCTCAAGTTTTTACATTAATTTTCCTGTTTTCAGCTCACCGTAGGTTGCGTTTACACCGTAGTCCCATTATATGCGGCGGAAATCTCCGAAAACCACAACCGGGGCCTTATAAACCTCCTTATGTTTTTTCTCTACGCGATCGGCCATTTTGCGGCGGTCGCCATCGGTCCCTACGTCACCGTCCAACACTTCAGCGTCTATTCGTTGGTACCTCTCGTCTCCTTCCTCATCGTATTCGGTTTCTTCAGCCCGGAAACGCCGTACTACTTTATGCTGCGTAATAAACCGGAAGAAGCGGAGAAAAGCCTCAAACTGCTACGCGGCGGCGGCAACATCGAGAAGGAGCTGAAGGAAATCCACGAACAGGTGGAACACACCAAAGACATGGGTCTATTCCGGAGCTGCAATAGTCTGTTCACGTCCAAGCATTCGATCAAAGCGCTGACTTGGTCGTTGCTGCTGATGAGCTTCCAACAGCTGAGCGGCTACATTTACGTCGCTTCTTACACCCAGACCATTTTCGACTTGGCTCATATATCGTTTCCCAATGAGATCGCCGTCATCCTCGTTTTTTTCATTCAGATAATCTTCGTTCTGGCGGCTTTCCTCGTTATAGACAGATTGCCTCGTCGACTGCTCGCCGTGCTCAGCTTATCAACCACCATGATCTTGGCGCTCAGCATGGGGACCTATTTCTATTTGCTCCAACGAAACGTCGACCTCCAAGCCGTCTCGTGGCTACCTATGGTACTATTCGTGTTTTACGTCGCTTCGTACAACATCGGAATTGGACCGATAGCTTACATCATACCGGGTGAAATATTCGATCCCCACGTCAAGTCGATCGGCATCACGTTGGTTACGGTGCTGGCGTTCGGGTGGCAATTTTTCAGTACGGTCCTGTTGCCCAATTTTGCCGAAAAGTACGGCAACGAGACCCCCTTTTGGGTGTTTTCGGCGTCCGCTTTCGTGTCCGTGTTTTTCATATACGGCTGCCTGCCGGAGACCAAGGGGAAGAGTTTCTTGGAGATCCAATCTTTTCTGAGAGCCAAGACCAATTAGAAGAAGAACGAGTATCTAGGTTAGGTATGGGGAGTCTGCGGATTTGAAGATGTAACTCTTTCGCACCGTGTGCGGAAACTATTAAACAATAAATGCTGCGTTGTTGCTTTTGTATTTCATTTTTAAACCAGCGATGGAATTAGACTGCTCCTGTCATTATTATTTCCTAAATTCAAGGAAAAAGTTACGCAATTACAGAATTTTTGCTCTATTTTATGTTTCAGTTAGATACTTTTATCGTCTGCTTTTTGTTGACATTTCTCAGTTAGCTTGCTTGCGCAAAATATGGAGACAACACAATGAACCAGAAGCTGATAAATTCTGTAATTAGTCAAAATTATTTTTCAAAAATATTTTAGAAAATATGCCAAAAGTGTATTTTTATAATAATAATATTTCCGTAATACTTTATGGATATTTTAAGGTAAAAAAAAATCATGTTTTTGGCGCTATATCTCCCAATGACTTTTGAAAAGAAACTTAAAATTGAGATATCGATATATTTCTCAGTTTGTTTGCACTCTTTGCAAACAGATATTTGATAGATTGTTTGATTGAATATATTATGATTCACACTGTCTGTTAAAGTGGAATTTTTGTGGGTATCTTTTTTATCCAATCAAAGACAAACCTAAAAAATTTGAAAAGAACGACTTTTAAGATGGTATGACCAAAAAATGATGAAGTATTTTCTTCTATTTTAAAAACGTGGGAATATATCGAAAATCGGGAAAACTGTAACGTGGAGTTCAACAGCAAGTAAGTAATCTAACCAAGTATTCTAATCCCGTAACAGTTTTTATTCGGTTGACGGTTTGTGGTCACATTACATTATTGCAAATATAAATAATGTGCTCACAAAAAAAAGAGACAACGTCGAACGACTTAAAAGTTAGCGGCGGACTTTCGAGTTATAGGTTACAGCAAACGTGAGTACTAATATTTATAAGATTTACTGCTGAGCGCGAACTTTGCACTTAAAAACTCAAAGAACGAGCGCGAACTAAGACGAAACTTTTGAATTATGCGAAAACGTCAACATCGCATAACGCGGGAAAATTTACGTGGAAGTTTTCGGGAGCCGGTGTAGATCCCAAAACGGATTAAATTTATGCTATTAGTTGTGGTTAATAACGATTAAGAGCGCTCCCTGCGGTCTCTCAAAAAACAACGCACACATACCATAAAACCCTCTTTTTTCTACTATTCTTGTTAAAGTCTATTCAGGACACTAGTCAATTGCCGACATCCGTCGAGGATATTTGACATTTTTATTTAGATATGTATTCACATGCATTTCCTGTTGCTCACTGATGAACTAATTTACTACCATATCACTTATTACCAATGCACTTTGACCAATACGAAAAAGAAAACCGCTTGCCCCTGAAGCCATCCGGGACCTATTCAGCCTCAAACCGGAATGAATAGCAAAAACAGTTAGCCGGAAACACTTATACTTTTAGCATCTATCGAGGATTTTTGAGATTTTGATCACAGACCTAAACGTATTCAAAGGATTTTCCTGTCGATTACTGGTGGACTCATGAACTATCATATCACTTATTTCCAATGCACTTTGACCAATAGGAAAAAGAAAACGGCTTCCCCCTAAAGCCATTCGGGACTGTTCGGACCTATTCGGCCTCAAACCGGCGTGAATGGCAAAAACAGTTAGCCAGCAACACTTATACTTTTAGCATTTGCTGAGGATTTTTGACGTTTTGGTCACAGACCGACACGTATTAAAAGGATTTGGAATGGAAAAAACAGATGGGTAAATATTTATTCTTTAAATCATTCACAAAACCCAAAACCATCATTCAAACTGATATCACACAGACAACAACACACGTTACTTTACTATTTACTTATAACATCTGTAGGAACTAAAGGAGATACTTCATCTTAATGTTCTATAATCCGTTTTATAAAAATAAATAGGAAAGGATGCAGTTTTCATAGCTTAATGATTCAAATAAAATGTGAACCATACACGGATGGATACAAATTGGATAATAGATTTTTTCCATTCTCCAAATATTTATCTAAAATTAAGTTTCAATTGTTTTTCGACTAAGAATCTTTTTCTTCTCTTTCGAAAGAAAGAGAAATTAATTAAAATACAGTAAATAATAATTAATTTTCTTGGGTTCAAATCGCTTCGAAAACAAAATTTCGCAATCAAATAACAAATTTGGCATTTTTTACAAAATGACGCCAGATAAAACTCTTAAATTTCGAAGCAAAAAGTGTGTGGGTGGAAAACTTTCTAAAGAAGGTATAACAATGTTAGTAGCTGCCAATATTAGTTGGGTGAGAAAAGAGAAAGCTAGTCGTGATTGGGAAATCAACATCAACATAAAGCATTTGTCGGTCATTTACAAGGCAAACAAGTCTGCTTGCATGACATCGCAAATTTTTGAAGAAGAGATACGGAAATGGGAAGCAGAATTAAAGGGGAGGAGAATATTACTTCTCTTAGATAACTGCCCTGCACATCCCCATATTCCAAATCTACGGAATATTGAATTGGCATTTCTTCCAGTTGAAACAACAATAAAGTTTACAAGTGAGGAGTTGCAAGATTTTATGATGATAGATCAGTATTTGCCTACAACAGCGCAAGACAAGCTGAGGAAGAGCACCAAGAAGAAGACGAAGATAAAGAAGTTGATCTGGGACCACCACCAACAACAACAACAAGCCCTATATTCAGTTAAGTTGCTAGAGAATTTTTTTATGTGTCATGGGGAAGAAGCCCCTCTCGAAGAAACGGTGAAAATACAAGGCAAAGTACGAGATGCGTATTGGCATACTAAAAAAATTCAAAAAAAAAATCACCGATTATTTGAAACATGAAATGAAGTTCTTAAATAATTATATAAAATGAATACTTGACAAAACAACTCAATAATTTATAAAAAGTACTTTATTAATAATTTCTCTTGATCCGCCCCGTCTACCAAGCGCGCCTACGTAAAGTTATTTGGGGCTCTGCTGCCTAATTCCAAAAATGAGAGAAAATTTAATTGGGGAATTACAAAAAATATGCCGCCGAAATCGAAAGTCGATATCAAAACTCGGCTGGGATGGGGCTAAAAATCCATCGGATCCAATTAACCGTTGTCGTTCGCAGACCCGAAAAAATTCAAAACGTCGCTTTTTTTTGGACATTTACAATATAACGAATTCGATAGGAACGGAAAATGTTGAACAGGCTATTAACAGTGGAATAAATGGATCGTTGCGAATGACACGCAGTTTTTGACGAAATGTTTAAACGGAATCGTGCTTTAGCCGCTTGGGCCTCGCGGTAAAAATGTTTACTGTACCTAATTTTTAGGCATATTTTTTATTCTGGGTCGAGATCGAAAATGTCAATGTCGTTATAGAATTTACGCTAGAAATATTCCAAGACCAGACGCATTTTGCCCAATAGATGCAGAATCAACGATTCAGTCATAAAGAATCGACTGCGACGACTATGAAACAGATGTAAATAGATTATAACACCAAAATTAAACATTTTTAACTTTTGTAAAATTGCCAGTATCATCGTTTTCAACGAAAATCTTAACAGTTATCACATCTTTGATCTGTTTATCCTTGTTCCACGTCAGAGCAAGCCTCATCAACCGTTTTCACATTCCCAATAGTGTATCCGGTGTTGTTAAATGGCACAGAAAGTTTTTCCAATTTTTCTTTACGAATGTTTGTGTACTTCTCTTTATGTATTTCTCTTTTCCAATGTTTCGGTGCTGGTTTCTCAGTTTTCTCATTTTTAAATGGAGTAGATGTTAGCACTTGGCTTTTTTGAGCAAGTCCTTTTCTTGAAACCATTCTACTGTGTCTCCCACTTAAGAACTGTATACCCTTTTATATGGTTCTATTTTGACCGATAGGTCTCTGAAAAATGTACTGAAACCTTGTTTTGCTTATTGCTTCGACTTAAAGTCATGGGCAACTGAGACTATTTCAACAAAAGATAGAAAAGAAGCAAGTACTATTAGGGATTTCTTTCAAAATAAATTAGCAACTAATTCTTGTGATGGAGTACTCAATTAATTTTTTCTGTAATAATACTTCTTTCTAATTAAAGCGACGAATTAAAATTTCCAAAAATATAAAGATTTATTATAAAGCGCAAAAAATGTTTAACCAAATTAATAATAATAATAATAATATTAATAATACTCGAACATGGCAGAGCTGTACTATACTGGGATAGACCTATTACAACGGATGGAACAGTGGACTACAATAAACCCGATATCGTTCTTATAGACAAAGAAAAGAAAAATGCCCTCATGATTGATATCGCTGTTCCACTCTCCCACAATATCAGTAAAACTGAAGCAAAAAAAATACAAAAATACGAAAATTAGGCGGTGAAACTGAAAAATATTTGGCAGCTCAATAAGGTGTTTGTAATTTCGGCGGAGGGAATTGTCACCAAAAACTTATCCAAAAATTTAAAAGACATCGGACTTCCACCGAACATCGTGGAGTACCGACAGAAGGCTGTCATACAACAGACATGCCACATTGTTCGTAAGTTTCTGAATTGAGTGGGAGGAATTGAACAGTTTTCTAGCCAGTTCAGAGAGCCCGCATCAAACAAAGCCTCGGGTGAAAACAGGCCAGTGAGAGCTGAGATGTAACCGTATAATAATGATAATAATAATAATAATAATAATAATAATAATAATAATAATAATAATAATAATAACGAAATATTACTCTGGTGGACATTTCCGTACCTTCCCCCACTAACATTGACAAGAAAAATCAGGAGAAAGTTGACAAATACATGTTGCTAGCTGAGGACATGAAGCAGACCTGGGGTGCAAGGACGATCAAGACTATTCCCATTATAATTGGAGTGACGGGCGAAATTCCAACGATGCTGGCACAGAATCTGGAAGCCGTCGGACTGCAGAAAGCCCTCCAGTCATCCTATCAATCTGTAACATAATGCGAAAGGTGTTAAACCAAAAAATCACCATAGAACATTAGACGCAAAACTCCAGTGTTTTGACCCGTACTTAGCTGCGTGAATTAAAGAATAATAATAACAATAACAATAATAA